AGAGGTCTGACCTTATAAAGCACATAATCGATGCGGATGCCAAGGCGAAACGGCTCCAGCTCGCGCCGGTTGACATAGCAGTTCTCGGGTACCATGGTACAGCCTTCTTCAGAGCCCTGGGTGAACAGGTGGCTCGCACTAGGATGAGGGGAAAGGAGGTGGCAGGGTCACTGGGGTGTGGTGGGCAAACAACTAGGCAAGTGCTCACCCTGAAGTCCTGGGTCTCGAGGTAGGCGTCATGCAGCCCCGTCCACTCCTTCAGCAGGCGGCAGCCCAGGTCCTTCGGGTGCAAATTGAGGTCCCCACACAGCAGAACCACGTCAGCTTTCCTGGACGTGTGGCTGGGGAACCAGGTTGGTGAGGCAAGAATTCTTCCCTCACCGGCTCACCCTGCACGTGGGGCTGTGGCTGCCCCTCAGCCCCGGGGCCCCATCCCGCTTCCCTGCCAAGGCCAGGCTCACACACTGGATGAACTGGGCCAGTTCCCAGGCTTGGGCCACACGGTGTGTCAGGTAGATATCCTTCTGTCGATTGTACTCGGCGTGGAGCTGGGCAAGACAGGTAGGACCATTGCAGATGAGACGCGTGATCCTGACGGCAGGTCTGAACCGAGGTGCGCCTGTCACTCGGCCTGACGCTCAGTTAAGACAGGGGTGGGCCTAGCCTACACCCCGAGGAGATCCTGCCCCACACCTCAGCCCAGCCTGCAGCCCAGGACCAGGCCGCCCGACGCCGGTTCCACTCACGTGGGTCACGTAGGCGTTGAGCACCAGTCCGCTCAGCTGGAGCACCAGCAGCCCCACAGCTTTCCCGCAGAACCAGTCGCCGTGGTGGATCTGGGGGCGGGAGGGGACGCCTCCTTCACCTCGTTGTCGGTGGGGTGAGGGGAAGGGAGGGAAGAGGGCAGGCTTACCATGTAGGGGTAGCCATTGAGGGTGTACACGTGCTGGGTCAAGTCCTGGACCGGGTGTTTGGAGAAGACGCAGAGGCCACTGCCAATGATGCCGCTGAAAGCCACGCCCTCGTTAACAGAAACGCAGGGAGAGAAATCCCCGTCCCCTCCCTCG